TTGTCTATCCCTTTCCTAATGGTTCCTAACATTCTGTTTGCTTTTTTGACTGACACTGCACTTTAAGCAGATGTTTCTGAGAACTATCCACGGTGCTCCAAGATCTCTCCTGAGTGATTTCAGCTAATTTAGACCCCATCATTTTATATGTAGAGTTGGGATTATGTTCTCCAATGTGCATTACTTTGCATTTATCAACCTTGAATTTCATCTGCCATCTGTTGCCCAGTCACCCAGTTTTGTGAGATTCCTTTGTAACTCTTCACAGTCAGTTTTGGACTTCACTCTCTTGAGTAGTTTTGTATTATCTTCAAACTTTGCGACCTCACTGTTTACTCCTTTTTCCAAATCATTAATGAATACGTTGAACAGCCCTGGTCCCAGTACAGATCCTTGGGGGACCCTGCTATTTACTTTTATTCACTGTGAAAACTGACCATTTATTCCTATCTTTTAACCTGTTACTGATCCATGAGAGGACCTACCCTCTAATCCCATGACTGCCTATTTTGCATAAGAACTTTTGGTGAGGGACCTCCTCAAAGGCTTTCTGAAATTCCAAGTACACTACATCCAGTAGAAAGAAAAGGAGTACTTGTGGCACCTTAGAGACTAACAAATGTATTAGAGCATAAGCTTTCGTGAGCTACAGGTCACTGCATGGGATGCATACAGTGGAAAATATAGTGGGGAGATTTTATATGCACAGAGAACATGAAACAATGGGTGTTATGTAGCAAGAGTGATCAGGAAAGGTGAGCTATTACCAGCGGGGGGGGGGGGGGGGACACGACCTTTTGTAATGATAATCAAGGTGGGCCATTTCCAGCACTTTACAAGAACAGTAGGAGGGGAAATAAACAAGGGGAAATAGTTTTACTTTGTGTAATGACCCATCCACTCCCAGTAATCTCTTTGGTCACTCGATTACGAACCTAAAAGTGGCAATTCTTCAACAAAAAAACTTCAAAAACAGACTCCAACTAGAGACTGCTGAATTGGAATTAATTTGCAAACTGGATACAATTAACTTAGGCTTGAATAAAGACTGGGAGTGGATGGGTCATTACACAAAGTAAAACTATTTTCCCTTGTTTATTTCCCCTCCTACAGTTCTTGTAAAGTGCTGGAAATGGCCCACCTTGATTATCACTACAAAAGGTTTCAGAGTAACAGCCGTGTTAGTCTGTACTCGCAAAAAGAAAAGAAGTACTTGTGGCACCTTAGAAACTAACCAATTTATTTGAGCATAAGCTTTCATGAGCTACAGCTCACTTCATCGGATGCATACTGTGGAAAGTGTAGAAGATCTTTTTATATACACACAAAGCATGAACAAATACCTCCTCCCACCCCACTCTCCTGCTGGTAATAGCAATTGGAGAACACTTCAGTCTCTCTGGTCACGCGATTACAGACATGAAAGTTGCTATATTACAACAAAAAAACTTCAAATCCAGACTCCAGCGAGAAACTGTTGAATTGGAATTCATTTGCAAATTGCATACAATTAACTTAGGCTTGAATAGAGACTGGGAGTGGCTAAGTAATTATGCAAGGTAACCTATTTCCCCTTGTTTTTTCCTACCCCCCCCCCCCCCGACGTTCTTCTTAAACCCTGGATTTGTGCTGGAAATGGCCCACCTTGATTATCATACACATTGTAAGGAGAGTGGTCACTTTAGATAAGCTATTACCAGCAGGAGAGTGAGGTGGGAGGAGATATTGTTTCATGGTCTCTGTGTATATAATGTCTTCTGCAGTTTCCACAGTATGCATCCGATGAATTGAGCTGTAGCTCACGAAAGCTTATGCTCAAATAAATTGGTTAGTCTCTAAGGTACCACAAGTACTCCTTTTCTTTTCACTACAAAAGGTTCCCCCTCCCCTGCCCCCACTCTCCTGCTGGTAATAGCTAACCTTTCCTGATCAGTCTTGTTACAGTGTGTATGGTAACACCCATTGTTTCATGTTCTCGGTGTATATAAAATCTCCTCACTGTATTTTCCACTGTATGCATCCAGTGAAGTGAGCTGTAGCTCACGAAAGCTTATGGTCTAATAAATTTGTTAGTCTCTTAGTCTCTAAAGTGCCACAAGTACTCCTTTTCTTTTTGCGGATACAGACTAACACGGCTGCTACTCTGAAATATATCCAGTAGATCACCCTTGTCCACATGTCTGTTGACCCCCCTCAAAGAATTCTAATAGATTGGTGAGTCATGATTTCCTCTTACAAAAGCTGTGTTGCTTCCCCAACAATTCACACTATAGTTTCAACCAGTCTGCCTGGTACTGAAGTCAGGCTTATTGGTCTGTAATTGCCAGGATCGCCACTGGAGCCTTTTAAAAAATTGGCATCACATTAGCTATCCTCCAGTCATCTGGTACAGAAGCTGATTTAAGCAATAGGTTACGTATCAGAGTTAATAATTCTGTAATTTCATATTTGATGTCCTTCAAAACTCTCATCTGGTCCTGGTGACTTATTACTGTTTAACTTATCAGTTTTGTTCCAAAATCTCCTCTAATGGCAGCTCAGATTTGTCACCTCAAAAGAGTGGCTCAGGTGTGGGAATCTCCCTCACATCCTCTGCAGTGAAGAGTGATGCAAAGAATTCATTTAGCCTCTCTGCAACAGCCTTGTTTTCCTTGAGTGCTCCTCCTCAATCGTTTAGTTGGCCCCACTGATTGTTTGGCAGGCTTCCTGCTTCTGATGTACTTTTAAAAAAAAGAAAAAAGAGCTTATGAGTGAACATTCCTTTAAAGGAAAAGACTTATGGGGCAAAAGAATTAAACACATGCTCATAGCTAATACTGTGCTATGTCTGTATACCGTACAAATGTTTGTGAAAAGCAGGCTGAATTTACTTTAATTTTGTTTTCTTACCAAAAGAAATTGAGCAGAACAGTAATTTTCTAGGATGGCTATAGATTTCTCCCATTTTTTAGGACACCTATTAAAATTAGTTTGGGGGTATGTGATGTTAGGGCATGTCTAAACTACAAAGTTTAGTCAGGTTACGTCGACCTAACTATGTAAACATACATGCTATAGTTTTCCTCCCGTGGCTGTAACTCGCTTGCTACTCCGACCTAGTAAATCCACCTGAATGAGAGGCATAAGGTTTAGGTCGACATAGTTTGGGGGACGCAATGTCTGTATAGACACTGCCTTACTTGCATCGCCTGTTGGCTGTCAGGGTGGCTGACAGCTGGAGCTGTGAAATTGACAAGAATGGCATTTTCACTGCTGGTATAGTCCCTGTTTTGAAATTGAGCTGGAGGGGGTCAGGGGGAAGTTTTTTTTTTCCAGCTGTGAGCCCCAGAGGTGCTGACAGCTGGAGCCTCACTGTCCTGCACTGAGTGACCGGGCTGTAGGCTCCTCACAGAACACCCAGCTGTAACCCAGGCTCTCTGATCCCGCTACGCACAGAGCTCCCAGCTGGAGCCTGGCTGCCGCCTGGGGTCTCAGCTCCCCACTCTGCATGGAGCTCCTGCCGCTGAGAGCCTGGGTGACAACTGGGCTCTGGCTTAGAGCCCCGGCTCTCAGCCCCCCAGACTGTGCCCCTCTTAAGTCAGTGCAAGCGCTCCTGGGGAGGACGTGCACCACTGACCGAAGGAGGGTAGCAAGGACATGAAAAACGGCAGTAATTACTGCGGTAGCTGTAAGTCTAAGGGCTTGTTTTCACTACGGGGGTAAGTCGACCTAAGTTACACTACACTAGCTATGTGAATAATGTAGCTGGAGTCGATGTAGCTTAGGTCAACTTACCCTGGTGTCTTCACTGTGCTGTGTCGACGGGAGACGTTCTCCGGTCAACTTCCTTTACTCTGCTCAGAGAGCTGGAGTACCATGGTTGACCGAAGAGCGCTCTGCCATTGATTTAGCAGGTCTTCACTCGACCCGCTAAATCGATCTCTGAACGTTGATCTCCCTGGTAGTGGAGACCAGCCGTAACTTAGGTCAACTTAATTGTGTAGTGTAGACATGGCCTGGAAAAGGAGTTAAGTTCCAGTGCTCAGTATTGTCACTAACACCAAGCATCGTCCTTCAAACAGGAGGATAATTTCTTCTCTCATTTATCCTGGTGGAAATCCAGAGTCAACTCCATTGACTTCTGTGGAGTTACTCTACTTTCATATTGGTGTAACTGAGAGCAGAATTTATCTGCTAACTGCAGTGCTTACTCTGCATTTTGTCTCCAAATTACTACAGTGGTTGAATAGCCTGAAAAGTGCTTTGAGGTCTGATTCTTCCGATGAAAAACACTGCGGATATGTCAGAATTTAGTACCGGGGGTTTCTTTTTTCAATATGAATACACACACAAATAACTCTCCCTTTCACTGGTGTGACATTAGGCCTGAGTTATGAGAAAGTATCAGTGGTAACATTTTGTAGTTGCATGTTGACAGAGAAAGAGTTGCTGGATATGTGCGTTAGGTGCATTACAAACCAACATAAACTGAATATCTTGAAATATAAAGCGCAAGTCACCAGCATAGGAAGAATACTGTGTCTGAGAAATGGGTTAGGAAAAGAAGCAGTTACCAAGGCAAAGGAGGGGGGAAAAAAGAGTGCCTGAAACTACTTAAGAGTCATTTTGGAAGTGAAAATTGTGCAAAGCTGATTAAAAAACCCTGATCCTCGTTAACACGTGAGGTCCCTTTATGCTTCCCTAGTGGTGTAACGGGATATTACTGAAAACGAGGATCAGGTCCAAATGTTAGTAAAACATGGTGATTGTCTGTGCAATGCAGCTATCAAGCTTCAGCCCAATGCAGTCTAACTGTCAGTTATAAAACTAGCAAATTAGTTGGATAATAGTGTTAACATGCTTTTTATGGTCACATCTGGAGTGTGTAGACATCCATAAACATCCATCCATGGAAAGTGCTGAGCAGCCTGTGGTGAGCAGTTCTTGCACTTTCTCTTTGTAGCTGGGTGTGACAGATGGTGATGGGACCCAACTTCATCTGTTTCTCTTCTTGTGGACAGGATCAGGAGTGGGACATGGAACCCCAGCAATGGTCACCTTTCCAACCCTCTGCTATTCCTCAACTAACTTCTGCTAAAGAGACAAAGCCAAACTCTGCAGAGATTTCGCTTTGGACTGTTCTAGCTGCAATTCAAGCGGTGGAAAAGAAGGTTGATTCTCATGCCACGCGGTTACTGAACCTGGAGCGTAGAACAGTGACAACAGAAAAGAAATATTTTGACTGTGAGAAAACAGTAGTGGATTTTGGTAATCAAATGGAGAGTAAGTGGGCTGCGCTGGGAACTCTGATCCAGGAGTATGGGCTGCTGCAGAGGAGGCTGGAGAACATGGAGAACCTGCTGAAGAACAGGAACTTCTGGATCCTGAGGCTCCCCCCAGGCACTAAGGGGGAAGTTCCCAAGGTAATGATGTAGCTAATAATATTCAAGAACTGTAGTAAAACAGTTTTCATTATATCTCTGATTACTACCACTCTGACTCCAACATTCCCAAACGCCTTTATGCCTGAAATTTTGTATGTGTGTCCCCTATTGGCAGCAGAGGGGTTTTCTGGGACAGTCTGGTGTTAAATGGGCCCATTGTTTTTGAGAGAGGAACGTTTTCAAAAGATTTCACTCTTCAAAGAGTCTTTATTTTTGTAAGTTGATCTCTCACACAACTTGGTGCAGAAACTCCATATCTGTTCGTTTTCCTCTGTGAGATCATAGAATCATAGAATATAAGGGTTGGAAGGGACCCCAGAAGGTCATCTAGTCCAACCCCCTGCTCGAAGCAGGACCAATTCCCAGTTAAATCATCCCAGCCAGGGCTTTGTCAAGCCTGACCTTAAAAACCTCTAAGGAAGGAGATTCTACCACCTCCCTAGGTAACGCATTCCAGTGTTTCACCACCCTCTTAGTGAAAAAGTTTTTCCTAATATCCAATCTAAACTTCCCCCACTGCAACTTGAGACCATTACTCCTCGTTCTGTCATCTGACACCATTGAGAACAGTCTAGAGCCATCCTCTTTGGAACCCCCTTTCAGGTAGTTGAAAGCAGCTATCAAATCCCCCCTCATTCTTCTCTTCTGCAGGCTAAACAATCCCAGCTCCCTCAGCCTCTCCTCATAACTCATGTGTTCCAGACCCCTAATCATTTTTGTTGCCCTTCGCTGGACTCTCTCCAATTTATCCACATCCTTCTTGAAGTGTGGGGCCCAAAACTGGACACAGTACTCCAGATGAGGCCTCACCAGTGTCGAATAGAGGGGAACGATCACGTCCCTCAATCTGCTCGCTATGCCCCTACTTATACATCCCAAAATGCCATTGGCCTTCTTGGCAACAAGGGCACACTGCTGACTCATATCCAGCTTCTCGTCCACTGTCACCCCTAGGTCCTTTTCCGCAGAACTGCTGCCTAGCCATTCGGTCCCTAGTCTGTAGCTGTGCATTGGGTTCTTCCGTCCTAAGTGCAGGACCCTGCACTTATCCTTATTGAACCTCATCAGATTTCTTTTGGCCCAATCCTCCAATTTGTCTAGGTCCTTCTGTATCCTATCCCTCCCCTCCAGCGTATCTACCACTCCTCCCAGTTTAGTATCATCCGCAAATTTGCTGAGAGTGCAATCCACACCATCCTCCAGATCATTTATGAAGATATTGAACAAAACCGGCCCCAGGACCGACCCTTGGGGCACTCCACTTGATACCGGCTGCCAACTAGACATGGAGCCATTGATAACTACCCGTTGAGCCCGACAATCTAGCCAACTTTCTACCCACCTTGTAGTGCATTCATCCAGCCCATACTTCCTTAACTTGCTGACAAGAATACTGTGGGAGACCGTGTCAAAAGCTTTGCTAAAGTCAAGAAACAATACATCCACTGCTTTCCCTTCATCCACAGAACCAGTAATCTCATCATAGAAGGCGATTAGATTAGTCAGGCATGACCTTCCCCTTGGTGAATCCATGCTGGCTGTTCCTGATCTAGTGCAATATGTTATATAATGTTAGAAACTAGAGTGAATCTGAAAGCACCATGTTGTGTCCGTGGACTTTATAATCTTTTTGATCGTGCCACGTTTATAGACGCTACAGCAGTAGCCAGTGGAATTTTGTAAATACGACAAACCAAATACATTTGAGGTAAGTTGGTTAGAGCTCTGCAAGTGTGGCCGGAGCAATCTGTGCAGTCGATAGGCCAGACAGTTTGCTTCAAGGAATTTGGAAGCTTTATTCAATTTATAAATTGTTCTTGAGGTTTGTGCTCACTCGCAGTTGTCAGCCTTTCTCCACTTCTCATTAAATATTGAATAGGGCTCTGCAGGGGTAACTCCGATTGCTGCCTTTTCATTACTCTGTACAAAATCTTGACTGATGTGAAGTGTCATAAATAAAACTGAATTCATCAGGTGAATGAATATCGTATTGTATCTGATCACAGAGGAGCGGATGCACAAACCATTACTCACTCTGAGCAGTATCTTCATCCACCAGTAGCCCCGCTGAAGTCACTGGAGCTACTCTTGTCTGCATGGGGAAGTTACTGCAAAATAGTGGTGGGGTGTATTTATTTGGCGTGTGCAATCTAGTCAAGCCAAGCCACAGTGTCCTTATCGATGTTCAAGGCACGAAAACCACGAGGAAGCTGAGTCATTTTGCTGTCCTCAACAATGTGTGTCATGATTTGTGGCTGCCCACATCAACCTAGTGGACTGTCTCTAAAACGCCACCGAAATTCCGCTGCAGCACAAATTCCCTGTCCGGTACGAAACCGGTTCAGAAGGCTCCGTTGCCTTCGCGGTCAGTCCAACCCGGGGTGATGTTGAGTGGGGTCCGAGAAAAGATAATTATTTGTCACTTTCTCTGCGGATCATGAAGCTCACCACGCGTCCTCTATCATAAATCCCGCACCTAGTAAACTTATCCACAAAGGGCGCCATGAGGGCAGATGACTGTGGTGGATTAAACAAGGCTTTAATTAACGGTATATGTGGCATATCACATAATTTCATCACGAGCTTTGCTACGCTTTCCTCTCTGTGAACACTGGGTGGAGCAATATTGCAGAGAGCGAGTAACCATGGTAGAGGAGTAGATTTAAGTCTGCATGAAATAAAACGCATGGCAGAATTATGTTGTACGTCGATCATCTTTGTGTGAGATGAGCGAGCCCAGACTGGAGCGTGGCACTCCACTGCTGAGTAACAGAGTGCCAAGACTGAAGTGTGTAACGTTTGGGCGTTGGCGCCCCATGTTGTCCCGGCCAGGCTGTTGCGTGTTTTGACCTTAGTTGCTGTCTCTGTAAGATGGTCATGAAATGTGAGATTTCTCTCCAATGTGACGCCTGGAAGGACCCGGGTGTGAATCGTGTTCTGTTCGTTGACCACTGAGAACTACGTTCAGCTCTCTGCCCAGTTGTGCATGATATAAGTGGAAGGCGCTCGCCACAGTCTTTCTTCCACTTGTTATTAGGCACCTCGGACTACGATACTCGGCCATACGGTGTGTATAAGAAGCACAGTACCCCATGTGGATGCTCTTCCTCAGCACCTCCAAAATGGATTAACCTACACTACACGAAGGCACTCTTAGTGTGGAATAGCTGTTCTGCACTAGCTCTTCTGGGCTTCTTCCCCATGTAGATGAGCTCTAAGATACTACTCCATGGGAATGAAGGTACCAGTGCTTTGGCATTCACAATGGGCTTCCCAATATGTAGCACAAATGGTGCTCTTCTAGAGAGCAGAGTCGTTCCCCTCCCTTTTGTTCCTCTCCTCATATGTTTCCTTATGTTTGTGTCTGAATTCTAGGCATTTGGAGGGGAAGCATTGTGGGTTTCTGTACAGTACCTGGAACTCTTACGGAAGCTGTAAAAATAAATTATAATAATGAGAAATGTTCTTGTGTGTCTTCGTCCCGTTCTCCCCCCTGTCTCTTAAATGCTAAAGAAGATGTAAGTGGCAGTTGACTTTAAGGCACTGGGGTGCCATACAAGGTGCTGAACCTGTAACCTCTGTCATTACAGGTCCCATTGGCATTTGAAAATGATGCCGTTTACTTCTCTGAGCAAGAATGGCAGAACTTAGAGGAATGGCAGAAAGAGCTCTACAAGAACGTGATGAAGGGGAACTATGAATCTCTGATCTCGCTGGGTAAATATTGGTTCTCACTCGTTTAGTAGATGTTCTGCGATCTCAGATATTCATGGGCCAGCTCCAGCGCTGGGCTAATGGATTTGCACTTGACATAGAATCTTTGTGATGGGTCAACACGTTTTTCACTGTTGTTGATGCCAGTCTAGAATGAAAGGTATGCAGGGGTGACCTGCTCCCTCCATCTCCAGTGCCTTCTGGCTGTGGATAATGGTTGCAGTTACTTGGAAGTACACATCCCGAAACCTGCTATGGCCCATGTGTGGTGCTGATGTAAAATCTCCTACAGAACAGGGTAACAGAGGAAGAGCACACAGGCAGAGAATTGTTAGGTGGGAAATGCACAGAGGCATCATTGTAGCTAGAGGGAGGCATGTGCTGGTGGTGTAGTACACAAGCACCGTTGACTGTGGAGGCCTGTCGCTGAACTGTGTGTTGGAGACACCTGGGCTGCTGGAAACCTCACAAGGGCTGATGGGCACAGGCTGGATTCAAGGCAGTGGGCAGGAGAGACAAGGGGGCCAGGTGGAGAAAAACTGAACAAAGGGGAGGGATCGATGGACAATCGGCTTGTGGTGGGATCTGGTGCTTGTAATCCACCCTTTAGGTCTAATGTAGGAAACTAATAAACCAAGTGGGTTCTCATTCTGGTCTCAGGAACTGTGGATACAAAATAACCATCGCTTACCCCAGGGGTGGCCAACCTGGGGCTCCGGAGCCACATGCGGCTCTTCAGAAGTTAATATGCGGCTCCTTGTCTAGACACCGGCTCTGGGGCTGAAGCTACAGGTGTCAACTTTCCAATGTGCTGGGGGGTGCTCACTGCTCAACCCCTGGCTCTGCCCCCACTCCACCCCTTCCCACCCCCTCCCCTGAGCCTGCCGTGCCCTCGCTCCTCCCTCTTCTCCCCCAGAGCTTCCTGCATGCCACGAAACAGCTGTTTGGGAGGTGCGGGGTGGGACGGGGAGGTGCTGATCGGCAGGGCTGCCGGTGGGTGGGAGGCACTGGGAGAAGAGCTGATGGGGGGCTGCTGACGTATTACTGTGGCTCTTTGGCAACGTACATTGGTAAATTTTGGCTCCTTCTAAGGCTCAGGTTGGCCACTGCTGGCTTACCCCCTAGATAGGCTCTGGCCTGGATGGGTCTCTGGCCTGTCTGCAGGTTAATAACTAGGGAAGTAGCTTAATATTTAGTGCCTGAAAGATAACGATCTCCCACTGCATGGAGAGTCCTGAACCTCTGGCAGGCAGCCCAGATCCTCCCTCACCAGGCATTTGTTTCTCTAGGAGCTTCGTTCCCATTATGCACCACTTTGAACAGTGATGCGGTGCCTAAACTCTCTTCATAGAATCATAGAATATCAGGGTTGGAAGGGACCTCAGGAGGTCATCCAGTCCAACCCCCTGCTCAAAGCAGGACCAATCCCCAATTAAACCATCCCAGCCAGGGCTTTGTCAAGCCTGACCTTAAAAACTTCCAAGGAAGGAGATTCTATCCCCTCCTTAGGTAATGCATTCCAGTGTTTCACCACCCTCCTAGTAAAAAGTTTTTCCTAATATCCAACCTAAACCTCCCCCACTGCAACTTGAGACCATTACTCCTTGTCCTGTCATCTTCTACCACTGAGAATAGTCTAGAACCATCCTCTTTGGAACCACCTCTCAGGTAGTTGAAAGCAGCTATCAAATCCCCCCTCATTCTTCTCTTCTGCAGGCTAAACAATCCCAGCTCCCTCAGCCTCTCCTCATAAGTCATGTGTTCCAGACCCCTAATCATTTTTGTTGCCCTTCGCTGGACTCCCTCCAATTTATCCACATCCTTCTTGTAGTGTGGGGCCCAAAACTGGACACAGTACTCCAGATGAGGCCTCACCAATGTCGAATAGAGGGGAACGATCACGTCCCTCAATCTGCTCACTATGCCCCTACTTATACATCCCAAAACTCCATTGGCCTTCTTGGCAACAAGGGCACACTGTTGACTCATATCCAGCTTCTCGTCCACTGTCACCCCTAGGTCCTTTTCCGCAGAACTGCTGCCTAGCCATTCGGTCCCTAGTCTGTAGCGATGCATTGGATTCTTCCGTCCTAAGTGCAGGACCCTGCTCTTATCCTTATTGAACCTCATCAGATTTCTTTTGGCCCAATCCTCCAATTTGTTTAGGTCCCTCTGTATCCTATCCCTACCTGCCACCGTATCTACCACTCCTCCTAGTTTAGTATCATCCACAAATTTGCTGAGAGTGCAATCCACACCATCCTCCAGATCATTTATGAAGATATTGAACAAAACCGTCCCCAGGACTAACCCTTGGGGCTTTCCACTTGATACCAGCTGCCAACTAGAGATGGAGCCATTGATCACTACCCGTTGAGCCCGACAATCTAGCCAACTTTCTACCCACCTTATAGTGCATTCATCCAGCCCATACTTCTTTAACTTGCTGACAAGAATACTGTGGGAGACAGTGTCAAAAGCTTTGTTAAAGTCAAGAAACAATACATCCACTGCTTTCCCTTCATCCACAGAACCAGTAATCTCATCATAGAAGGTGATTAGATTAGTCAGGCATGACCTTCCCTTGGTGAATCCATGCTGACTGTTCCTGATCACTTTCCTCTCGTGTAAGTGCTTCAGGATTGATTCCTTGAGGACCTGCTCCATGATTTTTCCGGGGACTGAGGTGAGGCTGACTGGCCTGTAGTTCCCAGGATCCTCCTCCTTCCCTTTTTTAAAGATGGGCACTACATTAGCCTTTTTCCAGTCGTCCGGGACGTCCCCTGATCGCCATTAGTTTTCAAAGATAATGGCCAATGGCTCTGCAATCACAGCCGCCAACTCCTTTAGCACTCTCGGATGCAACGCATCCGGCCCCATGGACTTGTGCACGTCCAGCTTTTCTAAATAGTCCCTAAGCACCTCTTTCTCCTCAGAGGGCTGGCCACTTACTCCCCATGCTATGTTGCCCAGCGCAGCAGTCTGGGAGCTGACCTTGTTCGTGAAGACAGAGGCAAAAAAAGCATTGAGTACATTAGCTTTTTCCACATCCTCTGTCACTAGGTTGCCTCCCTCATTCAGTAAGGGGCCCATGCTTTCCTTGGCTTTCTTCTTGTTGCCAACATACCTGAAGAAACCCTTCTTGTTACTCTTAACATCTCTTGCTAGCTGCAGCTCCAGGTGCAATTTGGCCCTCCTGATTTCATTCCTACATGCCCGAGCAATATTTTTATACTCTTCCCTGGTCATTTGTCCAATCTTCCACATCTTGTAAGCTTCTTTTTTATGTTTAAGATCTGCAAGGATTTCACTGTTAAGCCAAGCTGGTCGCCTGCCATATTTACTATTCTTTCGACACATCGGGATGGTTTGTCCCTGTAACCTCAATAGGGATTCTTTGAAATACAGCCAGCTCTCCTGGACTCCTTTCCCCCTCATGTTATTCCCCCAGGGGATCCTACCCATCAGTTCCCTGAGGGAGTCGAAGTCTGCTTTCCTGAAGTCCAGGGTCCGTATTCTGCTGCTTACCTTTCTTCCCTGTGTCAGGATCCTGAACTCGACCAACTCATGGTCACTGCCTCCCAGATTCCCATCCACTTTTGCTTCCCCCACTAATTCTTCCCGGTTTGTGAGCAGCAGGTCAAGAAAAGCGCCCCCCCTAGTTGGCTCCTCCAGCACTTGCACCAGGAAATTGTTCCCTACATTTTCCAAAAACTTCCTGGATTGTCTGTGCACCGCTGTATTGCTCTCCCAGCAGATATCAGGGTGATTGAAGTCGCCCATGAGAACCAGGGCGTGCGATCTAGTAGCTTCTGCGACTTGCCGGAAGAAAGCCTCGTCCACCTCATCCCCCTGGTCCGGTGGACTATAGCAGACTCCCACCACAACATCACCCTTGTTGCTCACACTTCTAAACTTAATCCAGAGACTCTCAGGTTTTTCTGCAGTTTCATACCGGAGCTCTGAGCAGTCATACTGCTCCCTTACATACAGTGCTACTCCCCCACCTTTTCTGCCCTGCCTGTCCTTCCTGAACAGTTTATACCCATCCATGACAGTACTCCAGTCATGTGAGTTATCCCGCCAAGTCTCTGTTATTCCAATCATGTCATAATTCCTTGACTTCACCAGGACCTCCAGTTCTCCCTGCTTGTTTCCAAGGCTTTGTGCATTTATATATAGGCACTTGAGATAACCTGCTGATCGCCCTCATTCTCAGTATGAGGTAGGAGCCCTCCCCTCACAGACGTTCCTGCCTGTGATTCCTCCCGGTATCCCGCTTGCCCACTTACCTCAGGGCTTTGGTCTCTTTCCCCCGGTGAACCTAGTTTAAAGCCCTCCTCACTAGGTTAGCCAGCTTGCTCGCAAAGATGCTCTTCCCTCTCTTCGTTAGGTGGAGCCCGTCTCTGCCCAGCACTCCTCCTTCATGGAACACCATCCCATGGTCAAAGAATCCAAAGCCTTCTCTCCGACACCACCTGCGTAGCCATTTGTTGACTTCCACTATTCGACGGTCCCTACCCCGGCCTTTTCCTTCCACGGGGAGGATGGACGAGAACACCACTTGCGCCTCAAACTCCTTTATCCTCCTTCCCAGAGCCACGTAATCCGCAGTGATCCACTCAAGGTCATTCTTGGCAGTATCATTTGTGCCCACGTGGAGAAGCAGGAAGGGGTAGCGATCCGAGGGCTTGATGAGTCTCAGCAGTCTCTCCGTCACATCGTGAATCTTAGCCCCTGGCAAGCAGCAGACTTTTCTGTTTTCCCGGTCAGGGCAGCAGATAGATGACTCAGTCCCCCTGAGGTCAGTCCCCGACCACCACCACCCACCTCCTTCTCTTGGGAGTGGTGGTTGTGGAACCCCCAACCTCAGGACAGCGCATCTCATGCCTTCCAACCAGCGGAGTCTCCTTCTGCTTTCTCCCCCCAGACGTATCATCTGGTCCACTCTCCGCAATGGTACCTGTGGAGAGAACACGAAAACGGTTACTTACCTGTGTCTGCGTTGCTGGTACCCGGACATTCCCCCTTCTTCTTCTGGAGGTCACATGTTGCCAAACTTCTTCACTGGCCTCTTGGCTCCGCTGTGCAACCTGCTCTAAATCTTTAGAGCTTTGTGCCCATAGAAGCATATCGTGACTTTTGTCCAGGAAATCCTCAGATTCTGGTGTGCAACGCAGGGTCGATATCTGTTGCTTCAGACCTTCAATCTTCTCTTCCTATATGGAGACCAGCTTGCACTTTGTACAGACAAAGTCGCTTCTGTCCTGTGGAAGAAAGACAAACATGGCACATCCAGTGCAGGTCACAATAGCTGAACACCCCCCCTCCATATCACCTTCCTACTATGAGCTTCCTCAGAGAAGCTGGCAAGATGTAAGCCTCACTGGGCTCACCCCAGGCAAACTCCCAGGCAAACTCCTGCTGTGTGCTGCTCTGCTGTTCCCCGCTGCTCTGCTGGTTCGCGGAGCTCTGGCTATTTTTAAACAGCCAGGCTTCCCTGAAACAAACTTTCTTACTGCTCAATGCTGCACGGAGCCAGGGAACGCTGACCTGTTTTTCCATCCATAGACTATGCACTCTCCAAACCTGACCTTCTGGCGCGGATTGAACGAGGGGAAGCGCCCTGCGAGGGGGAGAAGGGAGATGCAGAGGAGAGAGGAATCCCTGCAGAGCCCAGCACAGGTAAACTCGTGCTCTCTTCTTTATTTTAGGGCTTTCTGTGGTGTCCTCTCTGTGGGATCTAGCAGGAAACAAAGGTGTTTGTGAAACTGCCAATGACACCGCTTTCAGCTCCAGTTCAGTGACTTGTTAGCAGTTATAGGATACAGAAGGACCTAGACAAATTGGAGGATTGGGCCAAAAGAAATCTGATGAGGTTTAATAAGGATAAGTGCAGGGTCCTGCACTTAGGACAGAAGAACCCAATGCACAGCTACAGACTAGGGACCGAATGGCTAGGCAGCAGTTCTGCGGAAAAGGACCTAGGGGTGACAGTGGACGAGAAGCTGGATATGAGTCAGCAGTGTGCCCTTGTTGCCAAGAAGGCCAATGGCATTTTGGGATGTATAAGTAGGGGCATAGCGAGCAGATCGAGGGACGTGATCGTTCCCCTCTATTCGACATTGGTGAGGCCTCATCTGGAGTACTGTGTCCAGTTTTGGGCCCCACACTACAAGAAGGATGTGGATAAATTGGAGAGAGTCCAGCGAAGGGCAACAAAAATGATTAGGGGACTGGAACACATGACTTATGAGGAGAGGCTGAGGGAGCTGGGATTGTTTAGCCTGCAGAAGAGAAGAATGAGGGGGGATTTGATAGCTGCTTTCAACTACCTGAAAGGGGGTTCCAAAGAGGATGGCTCTAGACTGTTCTCAATGGTGGCAGATGACAGAACGAGGAGTAATGGTCTCAAGCTGCAGTGGGGGAGGTTTAGGTTGGATATTAGGAAAAACTTTTTCACTAAGAGGGTGGTGAAACACTGGAATGCGTTGCCTAGGGAGGTGGTAGAATCTCCTTCCTTAGAGGTTTTTAAGGTCAGGCTTGACAAAGCCCTGGCTGGGATGATTTAGTTGGGGATGGGTCCTGCTTCGAGCAGGGGGTTGGACTCGATGACCTCCTGGGGTCCCTTCCAACCCTGATATTCTGTGATTCCGTGATACAGCGTAGAGTTGTTAGAACAGCATAATGGGATTTATCTTTCCCATGCGTAGAATTGCTGGTGTATACGCTTGACGCGACCTGCCAGAGTGAAGGCGAGGAAGAGCCCTGCATCAAGGGACAGGAGAACTTGGAGGAAAGCGAGATCCCGGCTGAACCCCCAGTCGGTGAGTGCTGGGCTGAAACAGCAGTGTTTTTGTAGCTATCTCGTCACAGAATGCATGGAGTGAGGTAAAAGAGAGGCCCCTGCTTTAGAGAGCTCGGGAAAGCTCTTATGAAAAGGGGCAGAGGGAGCAGAAGACGTGGGAAGAGAAGTCCTGTGTAAAAGCCACGCAGCTGGCTGTTGCAAGGGGAGGGCAGAAGGATGCTGCGATGGGGGCAAAGGGGATTCACAAAAGAAAGTCAACTTGCCGCCTGTTTTCTCTTTCCATGAATAGAGTGTGCATTTTCCCAGCCAAGCTGTGTGTCCCGGATAAAGCGAGAGGAGGAGCTATGCATCGAGGAGCAGGGGGCCTCGGAGGAGGGGGAGATATTCTCAGGGCCCAGCACTGGTGAGTTATCAGCAGTCTCACAGAATGCTGTGCAGCCGGAGGTGGAGTGGAGGGCTGGCGTCGTACAGGGACTTCCCCGGGGGGAGGAAGCGGGGTGGGAGTGTTCTTGCAGGCTCGTGAGGGGGAAGTGGCCGTGACAGGAGAGAGGGGGACAAGGGTCCAGAGCCGTCTGAGGACAAGAGGAGGGGGAAGGAAGGGTTTAAGGCCAGAGTTGAGCACAGCATTTCCCCCTAACAGAGGGAAAGCACCAGAAACGTGGCAGTTTATGCAATGGAGTAACCCGCCCCCAAAATAAAACCCACCCGGGGGCAGCAGATGCTATGGCAGTGACCACCATATGGGAAGGACCAAGGACAACCAGGGAGGGTCCTGAAGATGAAATAAGACAAGGCCAGTACATTGGCTGGGAGGGGCAGCTCTCTGATCACTTTGTGGGGACGCCTGGCCCCATGGTCAGCTCCTAGCTGACGGTTCCGTCCTGGGCCTGCTAACCAGGACTATGACCCATTTAGTCTGTCGGGCCAACTGTGAGGAGCCTGCCCCTTGCATGGGCTCTCATGAGCCCTGCCAATGCTCACTGCCTCCCTGCCATCGTCCCTAGGCACCCAGATGGAGCAGAGTCGCTGACTGCAGCTCTGAGCAGGGGTCAGGTGCCCCTTCCTGAGGAGGGGATGCGGAATCCCACAGGCGTGGTGGGGCTCAGGTGCTCTGCACAGCTCCAGAGGGCTCCATACCCCAGATGCCAGGCCTGAGGACTTGACCATGAAAGCTTTCAGTCTTTGCTCATAAATCCGCCCCGACACACTGGATCACTTTGGTTGCTCTTCCCATAATTCCTCCCACCCTCTCACTAATCCTGGCACCAATGTGTTTAGAAATGAAAGCCGGATTCCAGGTACAGTCTGGGGTTACCAGGCGTTCAGTTTTCAACCAGAACGCCCCGTCGAAAAGGGTTCCTGGCAGCTCCAGTCAGCACCGCTGATCGGGATGTTAAAAGTCTGGTTGGCGGCGCAGCAGGGCTAAGGCGGCAGGCTCTCTGTGTCCTAGCTCCGCACAGCTCCCGGAAGTGGCCGGCATGTCTCTGCAGCCCCTAGGTGGAGGGGCAATCTGGGAAGCTCTGCACGCTGTCTCTGCCCCCAGCGCTGGCTCCGCAGCTCCCATTGGCCAGGAACCGTGGCCAATGGGAGTTGTGAGGACAGTGCTTGCTGGCACAGGCGGTGTGCAGAGCCCCCATGGTCCCTCCGCCGAGGGGCCGGACATGCCAGCCGCTTCCAGGAACTGAATGGAGCCAGGGCAGGCAGGGAGCCTGCCTTAGCCCCACTGCACTGCAGACTGGGAGCTGCCTGAGGTAAGCGCTGCCCAGCTGGAGCCCATGCCCCAATCCCCCTCCTGCACCCCCTCCCGCACCCTAACTCCTCCCAGAGCCCGCACCCCAGCCCTTAGCCCCCTCCCAGAGCCTGCACCCCACAACCCTCCTGCACCAGTTTTCCTAGTGGCTGTGTGTAGAGGTTGAATAGTATCAGAGACGCTAAGGAAGTAATCCTGAATGCAGTGGTGTTGTAGTCATGTTGGTCCCAGGATATTAGAGAGACAAGGTGGGTGAGGTAATATCTTTTATTGGACACCCTTCTGCACCCCAACCCACTGCCCCAGCCTGGAGCCCCCTCCTGCATGGCTCATTTCTGGCCCCAGCCTGGAGCCTGCACCCCCAGCCGGAGCCCTCACCACTCCTGCACCCCAGCCCCCTACTACAGCCCTGATTCTGCTCCCACACTCCAAACCCCTCGGCCCCAGCCTGGAGCCCCCTCCTGCACCCTGAACACCTCATTTCTGGCCCCACCCCAGAGCCTGCACCTCCAGCCAGAGCCCCCGCCCCTTCCTGTACCTCAACCCCCTACTCCAGCCCACAACCCCCTCCTGCTCCCCCAAACCCCTCGTCCCCAGCCCCACTCAGGAGCCTGCACCCCCAGCCAGAGCCACCACCCCCTCCCGCACCCCAACTCCCTGCTCCAGCCCAGAGCCTCCTCTTGCACCCCAAACCCCTCATTCCTGTCCCCATCCTGGAGCCTGCACTCCGTCCTGCACCCTACCCCCAGCCCAGTGAGGGTGAGGGAGAACGAGTGACGGCGGGAGGGGGGAATGGAGTGAGGGGGGGCAGGGTCTCTTAGAAGGGGTGGGGCAGGGATGGGGCCTTGGAGAAGGGGCGGGCAGGGGTGTTCAGTTTTGTGTGATTAGAAAGCTGGCAATCCTAGTACAGTCTCACAACAGCAGTCTGGAGAGGGACGATGTCTCTGTATGTGCTGCCCCAAACTGCATTGGCTCTTTTCGCCACCAACATTGTCGTAAAAGCTCTTAACTAATTAACAATCTGTTCCCACCCCATGGGTCACTTCCTGCTTTTGAGGTTCCTCCTGCTCTCTGAGTACGGTTGTCCCAGGTTGTTTCTCCCTCCATGTGCTAATTGTGTTTTCCAGGTTGAATTTCCTTTTGTTATCTCTTACCTAACTTGTTATCTTCTCCTGGTCATTCCTCTTGATGTTTGTAACCTGGCCAGTTTAATAACCTTTGTCAATCTCATTAATACACTGTTTACTCCTCCTTCCAGTCATTAGTAAAGACCTGAAATAAGCCTGATCCCTGCCTTGCCCTGTTGGACTCCTCCCCCTGACTTGATAGCTGTTATTTATCGATGCTCTGTGTGCACTGCCCTTTGGCTGGGTTTTGATCCATATCCCAGTGCTCATAGCCAAGCCCGTTGGAATGAAATGCTCGGATTGGAATGGCCAGATGGCGTGGCCTGGTCTCCTGGAGCGAGTCACGGGCAGGATTAGCCTGTCAGTGTGTGGGAAGATTGTGAAGCCAGCTTTGAGGTGAGAGGTGACTGGAGAACTGTGGCAAATGTCCTGACGATGAAACCTTGTGTGTGGTCTGCCCCATCGTGACGGGATCCTTGTGCACAGACAGTGGTCGTCCTGTCCAGGAATGGGAAACAATTAGCCTGCTCGTGTTCCTTCTTCTTCTAAGAAGGACGTCTGCGCAGATACTCCCAAGGGAGCAAAGGGGAAGGTGCGTGCCCAGGATCCAAAGAGCCGTTGGAAGAATGAGCGCTGCTGACCCACTTGTATGGCGAAGGAAGCAGCAATGCAGATGGTTTGAGCAAAGGAAGTGTGCAGTGCTGTGGTGATGGCGGTGAGTCGGTGGAGAACGGCTCATGTTCACGAGGTCTGAACACCGACAGGCACCCCAACCAAGGATTCTGAAGGGGGGTTGCCTGGCTCCCTGCCAGGGGGTTGGGAGGCTGGACAGAGGGACTCCTCCGGGGAGCACTGGACCTGAGGGAGAGAACAGAGGCAAGGGGCATGTTTTTGAGAGCCCGCTGGACAGACAGTGGCTGTAAGGACAAGCAGTGCTGACTGACAAGGCCCTGAGAGAGCTTCATCAGGGAAGGCCACAGCTACCGATTTCCCCCCTTTTCTGTCGAAACCTCCAAGCCTGCTCTAGTGCGTCTAGCCACAGTCGCTGCTAGATGAGGTGAAGTTTAAATGCTTTTCTCTGTTTCTGCTTCTCTCCGGTTTGTATGAAGTCTCTTGTTGAGATGCTACTGTAAATCGGCTGATGCGGGGCGACAGCTGCTGCCTGCCTGTCCCCGAGGCGGAGGAAGAGAGGTTGGACTCTCTGGCCCCAAGGCCCTAGAAAGAGCTTTTTGGCGGAGCTGTGGTCTGGCCTTGCCATGAAAAGGCACCACAGGCAGAGCCCTCTGCCATGGACAGGAGCCAGGGAACAGGAGCTTTGGCTGCAGGCAGGAGTGAGGAGTTCAGCAACAGCTGGGACAATGTTAGGAGGATATTTTAAAGAAACTGGTTTCAATCTATATCCAGCAGAGCCCTTGACAACCCTTCCCAAAGGGTGAAATTCACCCAGTGCAGGAGGTCTCCCCAGGGCTCCCAGCATCTCTTAACGCACAGTCCTACTCTGCAGCTGTGTGTGAACATGACCCCGTCTTACTCAGCAGGCTCTTAGGTTTACTCATTCACGCCTGCTGGCACGAGAGGCTAAAATAAGCTCTTACGACTAAACGCCAGTACCGCTAAAAGGGAGTGAGCTGGATTCCTCGTGCGTCATCAGCAGAATTGTTTATTCGGTTCCAGTGACAGGGACAATCCGTTACGCCTGTGCACACCCACTGAAGACAAGGGGGGTTGTAAAGGCGTCCCTAAAGACCTGAGCCAGCCTGCAGAGTCTTTGGGATTCATGGTGATGTGCCATAAGGAAGACCCCATCTTACCTCTCAGATCCCAGGCTGAGTTTGCAGAGCTTGTAGCCAGAGGACTCACGGTTTGATTTGTAAACTAAGCACAGCTGATGTGGAGCAGCTGAGAGTCATTGAAGATGGAAACTCCTGCTGCCATTTGTATTGTGGCTTTACAAAGTGTAAGTGCGGTGTGAAGGCTTTCAGTGCGTTGGGCGAGTCTTCTGCACGGGGGGGGACTTACAGCCAGTGAAATGCATTTTGTCTCTTTAGGCATGAAAGCTTAGACTGTGAGGGGGAAAAGCAGCTGCTTCGCCCCTTGTTCTCCAGGGGTCTTGGTAACAGTCGGGTGTTCCAAGCACTGAAACAGGAAAACAAGAGGTTGTTGAGCTCATTGTCTCCAAGGGGAGCCGGATGTTCAGCACTGCTGGAATCTGTCTTTTCACCCTGTCCTCCTCTAAACACAAAATATTGCCCAGGACTGTTCTAGCTCATTTGCTTGGGAGAAACCTAACGTAATGGGCTTTTGTAATGAAGTGGGAATGATTAACAGGTTTCCTTTATCCCAGCGGACACAATAAAATTCTCTGTATTTTATTTTTGTTTTATTCCAGCAGATAATGGAATCATGTTCAAAACTGAGCTGCTGGAGCATGGGGAACATCTCAAAAACTTGCAGCTGCAAAGGACATTATCTGGAATGTCTGAAGAAATTGTGGTCCAGACTCCCAGGGAGGGAAGGCCTTTGGATCATCCAGACAGCTCAATAATGCAGCAAAGGAACCATGACAAGAACAGGCCGGTAGAGTCAGTGCCTGGGGAGGAAAGCTTCAGGGAAAGCAACACTGTACCTTTTTACCGGCGCAGCTGCCCAGGTGAGAGACCACATGTGTGTGCTGAGTGTGGGAAAGGCTTTCGGCTGAAGAAGAGCCTCACAATGCACCAGAGAAGCCACGCAAAGCTGGGATGTTATGAACCTGCAGAGTGTGAGAAAAGCTTTGTGTACAAGCAGCACTTGACGATGCACCCGAGAATCCACACTGGAGGGGCCACTTACAGCTCTGTGGAGTGTGAGGAAAGCTTCAAACAGAATCACCACCTGAAATCCCACCCCAGAATCCAGACAGCAGACAAGCCTTACAGTGCCACTAAATGCACGAAAAGCTTCAATGTCAAATCACCGTACAGGCAGCACCAGAAAAGCCACGTGCGAGAGAGACCCTATAAGTGTAATAAGTGCCAGGAGTGCTTCTCTCAGAAGAAAGGCCTCATCACGCATCAGAGAATGCACACGGGAAGGAGTGGAGGATCGTTAATGTGCACGTACTGTGGGAAGAACTTCAGTCACCCCTCAGATCTGATTAGACACCAGAGGATCCACACGGGGGAGAGACCCTACCAATGCACTGAGTGCACAAAAAGCTTTACGCAAAAGCAGCATCTGCTCCAACACCAAAAAATCCACACCCGTGAAAGGAACCGTATAAACATGCAGAACATGAGAGAGGCTTTGCTGGACAACATCTTCTTCTAGCTCACACAGGGCCCCCACAGTGCGATGGCCCTGTACTGTTGCCATGAGCTCATTGCTGTAGACACTCAAAAGAAACAATTTACCGCCAAAGGATGCACACTGTAGAGTAGGGGCCACACAAACTTCTTGCTGGAGTGGTGGTGTGTTGCGGTATCTCGTAGCTCGCTTGAAAAATACTTTTAATGTGAAATGCTCCAAGTTTAAAAAAAAAACCAGTAAACTGAATCACTTAATTGAAGTGATAACGAAATATGTTTCTCGGGAATGTCTGCTATTTGTCTGGAATTGGCAAAATGTAAGCTACTCCCCTCGATGATATCCTGCAGCAGTCAGTTCCATAAGTTAGTCACATGTCGTACATGCCCCAAACAGTCTACAGGTTACTAAAAGTATACACACACAGGGCATTAAGTGACACCCTTGCTGACAGCAGGGCTTTGGAGCGGAGCCCGGAGCAGCTCCAGAGCAGTGGAGCTCCAGGTTTTTGCCTGGAGCTGGAGCGGAGCCGGAGCACAGTTCCAAAGTCCTGGCTGACAGTCTCTGTGCAGATCCCAGGGAATGGGAGTTGGTTGCTAGGGGTAGGGCAGTGATGAGGCATATGGACAGGGCAGACAGAGGAACTTTGCTCTGCAGCTGCCAAGTTCCCTAGAACTATCCATCCAGCTCCTTAAGCACTGAAACTGACTTCTCATGTGCTGTCAGTTGGGCCAAATTCTTTCTAAATGACACTGTAAATCTGGGGAAACCCACTGAAGACTCTGGAGTAATTCCAGCCTTATGCTGCAGTAGCTGTGATCAGAATTTGGTCCCAGACTCATCGCACATGAGTACATCTGCAGGCGAGAGCGCATTCGCAAGGTTTCCTTTTATACCTCTGTTTAAGACACAAACAATGCAATTGAATAGAAAAACAAGTTGTTAGCAGGAGACAGTACTTTCACTACACTCCAACGCCGTACTGAATTTCATATTGCAGTGAATTACTGTCTTGATTACCCTCTTTTTCCTGGTAGTTGTAGCATAATATTTCTGTTTATTTATTATCTGGTCGGTATTTTTCCTGTCTGTACAGTATTTTGTTTGTTTCCTTTCTGTGCAGCTCATGGTGTGTCTGCTTCTCTTATTCTCCTCTCAGTTCTTTTACTCTCATTTTTAGGAATCAGGTCTTGCCATACTCGGGGACTGTTAAATATATGTTACCAAGCTGCGTGAGTCTATTTGGTACATTGTCTAAATGTTTAGATCCCAGCTACACTGGGGCTAAAACTGCTACCTGAAATGTTTTAAACATGTTTTAATTGGTCACTAGGCAGGCCCACATCATATTAATCCTGGGTTAGAAACTGTATTGTCCTCTCCTGGGTTCCAGTTTGGGCCTGTAGCTGGTGTCGAGTTGTTAGGACTGTGGCCCCTCGTGGAGGGGCAGAGCTGTTCCACTGACTCAGTCTGGCAGCCAGACCTGGGAGGGTCTCATAAGCTCCATTTGGGAACATCAAAGGCTGTGGGCCTTTAAGGAAGAGAGAGGTAAAGGGGGACCTGCAGGGAGAAACTTCACTATAGTTTTTCAGGAGAGAGATTGGCTGGTGATTGACTTAGTTTCAGTACAGTCCTGCCACAAGGACTTGTTCGGTCATTTAAATAAAGGCAAACTCCAGAAGGGCACTGAATTTGGACAGTAACCATTATGGGAGCATGGAGTGGGGACTCTAGCCATTTACAGGGCCTGTCCCCACTCCCTGCTTAACCCAATTTCGGCCCATCTGCACTCCTGAGCCAATCTTGGTTTAAACCCAATGAACCTGAGTAGTTTTAAAAAAAAAACAAAACAGTTAGCCCTTTTGCAGCTGGGAGTTCATATTTAATATACTGTGTTGGATTTTTAGTTGAGAAGTTTATTTTTCCCAGCATTGGTGAGTTCTTTGATTTACCAGTGGCTCTGAGGGTTGTGATCAGGTCTCTTGTTTGTCTCTGTATTCATTTTTCAAAGTGTACTAATCCATGAGCACGTCAGGCTTCACCTGTGCCACAATGCTGCACACCCTGAACCACCCGAGGGCAGCAGGGTTAGAACCCAGGTCTTCCAGAAACACAGGGCCCTGCCACATGTGCAAAAGGAGAATCTCTCTTAGCATTTAGCAACATAGGGCCTGTGGTAGGTGGAGGGACACTTCTGATTTTGTCCGGTACACACATACTAGCCAGTTCTTCAGTGTCTGTTTTTTTGATTACTTCACTTAACCCCCTTATTTCCCTTTTAAACTTGTACTGTTTAGACTGTGAGTCCTCCAGGGCAGGGAACCTGTCTGTCTCTGTAAAGTGCCGGGTAAATTGACAGCAGTAGATGCTTGATTATTAATAATAATAAAATTAAGCTTGAACAAACTACTGAAGCTGCGAAGTTCTGAATAAAGAAAAGGAGTACTTGTGGCACCTTAGAGACTAACCAATTTATTTGAGCATAAGCTTTCGTGAGCTACAGCTCACTTAAACTTATGCTCAAATAAATTGGTTAGTTTCTAAGGTGCCACAAGTCCTCCTTTTCTTTTTGCGAATACAGACTAACACGGCTGTTACTCTGAAGTTCTGAATGTTTCTTTTCTGTGATGCCCATCCCGTTGTGGGTTCTGGACAAAGTCCGAGCTGTGAAAGCAGCTCTGCATGGTCCTGGGGTGTGGGCTAAGGAGGAGCTTCACAATGCAGCACCACTGAGCTGCCAAGGAATATATGATGTGTCTTTGGACTTTTTTCTCAATTGGGAGGCCCCCCTGTGCCTCGTTTAAACGATCGAATTCTGCAGCTAAGAGCAAAACCTAAATCCAGGGGACATTCTTGTGATGCTTCATTCTCTCAGTGGAGAAGGGGTCATAGGTGAGTGAAACTCCGCCTCACACCAGGAAGACTTGATTTAAAAAAACACAGCAGTGGAATTTGAGTGTGTGTGTGCGTGTGTGTGTGTGCATAACCAGTACTGTACCAGCTGTGAACAGGACAGTGCCCACGCAAATGCCAGACAGCAGAGAGAATCACCTAAACTTGGCTTGTAAACAAGGAGCCAGATAACAAATAACTAGGGATCCAGTGCTGCTTTTTCAGACTGACCAGGCAGTCCAAGCAAACGTCCTCCTGGCAGTAAAATGAATCTTCCGCCACTAGAGCATGCATGCTGCATTACTGACTCCAGCACGGCCCGTGACTTGATTGCAAGGAATTCACAGACCTTCCAAGATAAAGATGCAAAAGGAACTGCTGGAGAAGACAAAGGATGCAGAGACTCTCGGTTACCACTCAGAAACTGCAGCCCCCTAAGTTCAGATGTTTGATTTCCTCGGAACTGGAACGTGCCCTCCTGCAGTAATCCTCTCCCTAGTTTGAGATTATTTCTGTAGCCTGCACAAATTATAATTTCATTTACAAATATGGTAATCGCCACAGGTGACCTCTAGGCTGTTTCGGTATCTCCTACAAAAAGATCACAAGCACAGCAGTAAAGTCCTCGAACTTTTTTATCTCTACTGAGTCTTTATGAGCCTACCCATTGAGGCCAGTGCAGAATTGTTCTTTCTAGTGTTGATCTTTTAATTCTTCACTATTATAAAACGTATTTCAGTGCATTAGTGAGAGAGAGAAGTTAATTGGTTGCTGATATGGTGTCTACTTTGTGTCTTTATACTCCTAAATATTTCGCAGACGCTAGGCACCTTAGAAATGGGTGGGTAGAAGAAAGCAGATGGACAGTAACTACATTTTGATTAGGAGTTTTTTAATTAAAATGATTTCTGTTTAAGCCTCTTAAAAAAGTCAGTAGATACATTGGATGTAAAAAGAACGAGGAGGACTTGTGGCACCCTAGAGACTAACAAATTTATTTGAGCATAAGCTTTTGTGGGCTAAAACCCGCTTCATCGGATGCATGCAGTGGAAAATACTGGATGTAAAGTCTCCATTCCCTAATACTGCCGTAGATATTATGCTGTTTGATACTGGGTGAGAAGTACTTCACTTCCCTAAGTCCTGTTACTCTACAAAGTTTAGAAGCTAAGAAATCTAGATTTTAAATATTCTGGGCACTCTTGAGATTCATGCCTCAGAACTGATCTGAGCCAGGAGCCGGGAAGAAATATCCCTTCGCGATACAGTATTGCCCAGCTGACTAAGTAGCATCTAGATTCAAAGATTCTTGTCTGAGGCAGACACCAGGTAAAATGGGATTAGTGGCCAGTTCCCGTAGGGTGATTCCAGCCTTCCTGTTTAGAAGCCAGTTCAAAAAGGGCCAATTTCTCTTCCTTCCCTGTGCTCTCTGGCAGATGGGGAAGGAGGGGGGACAGGAGCAACAATAGGATGTGGGTCAGAAGAACTGTTCTTTCAACATTATTAAATACCCTAGAAACCCACCTGAAAATGTTTTCCTTCAGCTGGTGGCCTCCCCTCCGGCTCTCTTGGTGGCTGGTTGTCAGCAGTGTCACCTGCAGGCCCCACCCCTTCTCTCTATCAGGAAGTGACAAACCAAAAATGTCTTTCGTCTGAAGGAGACTCAGCGTTGTAACGGCTGGCTCAGATGTTGTGGCCAACCCTTCAATCAGAGGCTCCTGGGTACCCACCTGGTGAGGAACAGCTGAAATGCCCGTGTTCCAGTTCGGGGAGCTGCCCGGCCCTGACGGCTGCAGTGACTGTGCCTGGGGGGCTGGGATGCTGCTGCCTCTTCTGTAGTCCTGCCTGGGGCCTCTCATGGGATCCCCACATCCTCCCGTTGGACAGGAACCCTTCCGATGCTAAATCTCCCATTCCCTCTAAGTGTCTCTGTCCGTCCTGCCATGCTGCCCATCTTCCTTTGGCCCCCGGCTGCCATGGCATCGAAGGGTGGGGTGAGGAAGATGGCACATTGACTCTGGAGCTCGGCATCCAGGGCACGTGGACTTTCTTAAAGCAGCCAGCCTTGATTTCCTTCCTGGAGCCGATCATTTCTCAAAACATCTCCTGGGGCTTTCAGCAGGTTTGGAAACAGGGAAGCCGCCCAGGGAAGGTCTGCCTTACGAAGCTTTGTCGGTATAGCTGTGTCGGTCACGGATGTGAACCCCTCCTCCTGCAGCTGACACAGCTGTGCTGGACGGCCTCCAGTGTAGGTGATCGGCACAGTGATGTCATTTGGGGAGGCGATGTTACTGTACCGACAGAAAAACTCCTCCTGTTGGGATAAGCTGCCTCTACGCTAGGAGGCCACCGCTATTCTGACCAGGAATTAGTAGCGGAGAGGAGGCCTTAATGCTTGTTTTGTATAGGAGCCATCCAGTCCCCTGGTGTCCTGGGACCCCTGACTGGCTTGCATGGGACAAACCCATCTCCTCCCTGCTGTTTTATTCTCCTCTGGCCAAAACCATTTGGTTTGAGACGTCAGCTCCATCAGTGTCAATAAAACATAACAGCCCCCAATGTCTCTTTCCATAGATTATGCAATTTCCCAAGCTGACATTTTATCCTGGATTGTACAAGAGGAAAAGCCGAGTGTCAGGAATCCAGGAGCCTTGGAGGAACGAGAAATGCCTACGGACCCCCGCCCAGGTGAGTTATGCGTGCCAGTGAGTGAATGGAAAGGCAGCGCCCTACAGAGCTGGGGGCAGAGTCTTGCCCAAGCAGAGAATTTACAGCACAGGACATTATGGGAGAATGGGGGCACAGGGGGGCAGGCTCATGTGTTGGAGGGGCAGAGAGGCAAGCGAGTCATCTTGCAGACGTGGTGCCCAGAGGACAGGATGGAAGGAGGCTGTAGTCTGCAGAATTTAAAGCCAGAAGGGACCAGTTTGACCTCCTCATAACACAGGCCACTGAATCCCACCCAGCGACTCCTGCGTTGAGTCCAATCACGTGTGTGTGTGTGGGGGGGGTGAATTGGGGTTACAGCTGACTGTAGACCCATGATAATAGGCTGACGTCCTAAGGTGAGGTTAGACGAAAAAGAAGAGGGAGAGAAAAGTTGTTGCAGGTAGATGAGGCAGCACAAGCAAATGACTGACCTCCCTCCGCCCAAAGCAAGGGAGAGGCCTGGCTGTGGGAAGGAGAGGAGGCCACGGCTCGGGGCGCAGATGGCTCTGAAATGAGGACAGGAGGGAGGGAAGTGGTCAGTGGGAAGTTTGGAAGCCACGAGGTGCTCCCCTTGTTCCCTTCCCCATTGTCTTCTGATCATTCCAGCTTCTCTCCTCCTTTGTCTCTACATCGCCTCAGAAATCCGTCCCTCCTTCGCTCCCCCTGCAGCTGGAACCTTTATTCCCACCTTGATCACCTCCTGCTTTGACTGCTGCGACCTCTTCTCTGGCTGGGCTTTCCCATGAGCTGAGCGCCATGAGCAGGGCCTGTGTGTGCTCAACGGCTCTCAAAATTGGGCCTCTTTTAGGTAGAGGATTTAGGACTGTGAGTTTAGGCCCCCAGTTTTGAAAACTTTGGTGCATGCAGGGAAGGGAGCTAACAAATAATAGACATGAATAGGAAGGCTGAAATAAAAGCGCTCTCTCCTGTCCAGCAGATTATGGGATCCTGATCAAAACCGAGCAAGAGGAATGCCCTGCCATCCTGGAAGCACTTGGAACATTGACAGGAACGTCCCAGGAGGACGTTGGGCAGAGTCCTGAAGAGGGTTGGTGCAGTGCAGTATCCCCACTGAAGAACCACCCAGGAAGGAGGGGACCAGCTCAGCTTGAAAGATGTTTTGGCAACAACAAGCCAGTCGCCATTCACCAGAGAAAGTCTGCCAAAGACAGGCCTAATAAGTGTGCCGAGTGTGGGAAAGGCTTTAGGCTAAAGAAAAGCCTTATCATTCACCAGAGGAGTCACACCAGAGCAGGACCCTATGACTATCCGAAATGTGCAAAGGGCCTCTGTCACCTGCTGCACCAGAGAGTCCATGCAGGAGAGGGAGCCAGCAGCTTGCCAGACCATCAGCAAAGCGTGGCCCAGATGCTCAGTCTCCAAGCTGACCCGGCAAGAGGCAGATGCTGTCCAAGCACGGAATGCGACAGCAGCTTCAGTCCGAACTCCAGCCTAAGCAATCCTCATCTCCTGCAGGCAGGAGAGCGGCTGTACGTGTGCACAGAGTGCAAGAAAAGTTTTCGGCTGCACATCAACCTCCTCATACACCAGAGAACCCATGCAGAGAAGGGCCAAGGGCCTCTTATCTGTCCATACTGTGAGAAATGCTTCAGCCGCTCTTCCCATCTCATCCGACACCAGATGAGCCACACGGGGGAGAGACCCTATAAATGCCCAGCCTGCGAGAAGAGCTTCACGGATAAATCCAAGCTCACCAACCACTACAGGATCCACACCGGGGAGCGGCCCTACCACTGCAACGAGTGCGGCAAGAGCTTCAGCCGCACGCACCATCTCCTGAAGCACCAGCAGATCCACACGGGCGAGAAGCCGTATCACTGCACCCAGTGCCCAAAACGCTTCTCCCAGAAGCACCATCTCCTGGGGCACCAGCGTGTTCACACTGGGGAGCGCCCCTACCAGTGCACAGAGTGCGTCAAAAACTTCACACGGAAGCAGCACCTCCGCGAGCATTGGCGGGTCCACTTGAGAGAGACCCTGAGTGCTCCGAACACTTTAGACACCAGTGGACTCTGAAATGTCACTTGGGAGAACAGGATCAGCTGAGGGCCCGAGTATTAACAGCAGGCTAGTCCGCGAATGTGTTGGCAGCGGGGGGAGACTTATAGGCTGGTATCTCTTCACAATGAAAGCGTCACGAACACAGAAAAAGGAACCCATGAAGACGTGAAAGCAGGTACTGCATCCATCTTGCCTTCAGTGACCTGCGTGCCGGGGCTAGCGGTATTGGACCCTTAACCTGCAGTGAAATGTTTGTTAGTGTGCTGTAACGTTTACAAAGCAGTCCTTGTGCACCACTCGATATTGTTATGACAAAGTGATTCCGTGTATTTGGTGTTCACTTGGTGATTTCAGATTGACGTGTAAAGGTTCCCTGTATGTTTTACAGTGTATGTCTAGGAGTCATTTAATACTCTGTGAAAATGCTGCCAGTCCTGAGGTGGAGCATGGTGCCCATCTTGCCTCACCATCATTATAAAAACTAAAGACAAAGCCCAAGGCTCCAGCATGAACTCCCACCAGAGCTAAGGCCTATCACAGACCTCACCACCCTGCGCTCTCAAGGCTTGTCTGCACGGCCCTGCAGGTTAGACGACGGGTGGAAACTGTAGCGACGCACTGTGCTTATCCTACGCGTGTGAACGGACAGTGACCTAGTTCACAGTAGTGTAGTCCACCTCTGGTCATGTGAACTAAAGCCCGTTTTAGTTTGCACTGGCCGGGTCCACGCAGGGCGGGTGCAGTGCAGTATTGCAGTGCCCACTGCAGCACCCACCCCGGGCGTCTGACCTGCGGGGCCATGCAGACATGTCCTATGTGCAAGGTGCAGTGCTTAGGCCTTGCCTTCTCTGACATGTGTATCCAGCCTGGACCCTCCACTGCAAACACTGCTCCACCTGGGGAGAGAACAGACGCCCCAGCGGTTAGTCACCGTGTTTGATGCGCTGCCAGGAGGTGTTCCAGTGCTCTGGGGAGACGTGTGGGGCGAGAACCTGTATAGAATAGAATACAGCCCCCAAGGTAAAACTACCCGCGCTACTGCTGTAATGCCTGCAGCCTCCTGCCTGTTCTTGGAGGTCTGGTCTTCCATCCGGACCTGCAGGTGCAACTGACCAGCTGCAATTTTACTTAGCTGGTAACAGTCCCAGCCACAAAGGAGGCATGTTTGTATGCCATATGTTGTGGATGCACTCGGTGTGAGAGCAGGAGTGTAACATCTGGGAGGGGCAAGTGAAGGCTGGACAATAGGCTGCTGGCGATGTGAAGCCCTCTCAGCTCTTCCTCCATCTCCTCCTTAGCTGAGGAAGAGCCAGGAGCTGGCTTCCTTGTGCAGCACCCCAGCCTGTGTGTGTCCTGACATGGGTGTGAGGGGCAAAGGCTGGGGGCCCTGAGTCTCATGCAGCCTGGGGCATGGGGGTGGCAGGAGTGATTCTCCCCTAGAGCGTGGCTGTGACTGGCTGGGCTTAGGGACGCCCCTCACCCCACAGGCCTGCTCTGGGCTTAGCCTTTAGCAGCTGGGCTGGAGGGAGCCACTAGGTCATGAATAAAGAAAAGGAGTACTTGTGGCACCTTAGAGACTAACCAATTTATTTGAGCATGAGCTTTCGTGAGCTACAGCTCACTTCATCGGATGCATACCGTGGAAACTGCAGCAGACATTACATACACACAGAGATCATGAAACAATACCTCCTCCCACCCCACTGTCCTGCTGGTAATAGCTTATCTAAAGAGATCATCAGGTTGGGCCATTTCCAGCACAAGTCCAGGTTTTGCATGAGCTTTCGTGAGCCACCGCCCCACACAAATTCACGCTCAACTATTGGTAATAGCCCATCCAAAGTGACAATCTCGAATACAGACAACGTGTTCCTCTGAGGCTATCTAAAGTGATCATCAGGTTGGGCCATTTTGCTGCACAATGGTCCAGGTTGATTATCACCCTGCACCTCGTAGGGAGAGTGGTCACTCTCCTCTGGTAATGAGCCCATACCAGAAGTGATAACTCTCTACACAATGTGTGTGGTTTTGGGGGGGGGTGAGGGGGTGAGAGAACCTGGATTTGTGCAGGAAATGGCCCAACTTGATTATCATGCACATTGTAGGGAGAGTGGTCACTTTGGATGAGCTATTACCAGCAGGATAGTTAGTTTGTGTGTGTGTTTTTTGGAGGGGGGGTGAGGGGGTGAGAGAACCTGGATTTGTGCAGGAAATGGCCCAACTTGATTATCATGCACATTGTGTAGAGAGTGGTCACTTTGGATGGGCTATTACCAGCAGGAGAGTGAGTTTGGGGGGGGCAGAGGGTGAGAAAACCTGGATTTGTGCTGGAAATGGCCCAACTTGATGATCACTTTAGATAAGCTATTACCAGCAGGACAGTGGGGTGGGAGGAGGTATTGTTTCATATTCTCTGTGTGTATATAAAGTCTGCTGCAGTTTCCACGGTATGCATCCGATGAAGTGAGCTGTAGCTCACGAAAGCTCATGCTCAAATAAACTGGTTAGTCTCTACGGTGCCACAAGTCCTCCTTTTCTTTTTGCGAATACAGACTAACACGGCTGTTACTCTGAAATAGGTCATGAATATTCAGACAGTCATTTCCCTTCGTTTATTGCCATGTTGGGGCCGAAGAGCCTTATTCTTGACGAAGTATTATCCTCTCTGTTCCTTTCCCTTCCCCGGCAGGGCCAGCCCCTGCTCCCGCTCCAGTCCCGTCCCCGAAGCACGGGGTAGCCACCGAGCAGCTTCTTTTCCAGGCCCGCTCAGGGGCCGGGCAGTGGATGGGGGGACCGTCCCCCGCTCGAGCAAGGGCGCGGATCCGGCGCAAGCGGCGGCTGCTTTGGTTTCTCTCCAGCTCGCGGCTGCGGCGCGGCCCGGAGGCCTTCGCCTGGCCCATCTGGCCTCGGCCCGCTGCGGGGAGCGGCCCGGGGGCTTCAGGGTCGCGCGGGGACCCCGCGGGAGGGCGGCTGCGGTTAAAGGCAAACGCAGAGCCCGGGTTTCCTCTCGTTTCTCCGGGGGCAGAAACCCCCGCTCCGCCCCCGGCAGCCGCTCCCGCTCCCGCTCCCCCGGGGACGCTGGGCCAGGGGCGCGCAGGCGGGCCGGGCTCCGGCCACACGTGGCAGAGGCGGAGTCTGGAAGCAGCGTCCCGGGCCCCGCGGAAACTGGCCCCGCTCCCGGCCCCGGCAGCCAGGCCGCGGCTCCCTCCCTCCCTCCCGGCCGCGCTCGCTCTGCTCCGCCCGGCAGCGGGGCCGGCCCGTGGCGAGGCGGCGCCGGGACTCTGCCCAGCCCGCAGCGGGAGCGGGGCTCGGCCGGGCCGGGCCCGCGGGAGCAGCCCCGCCCGGGGGGGCCATGGCCGAGCGGGCCGCTGCCCAGGTAAGGGCCCGGCGGGCGGGGGGGCCTCGGGCCCCGGGAGCTTCTCCCCGCCCGGCTGGGGCGGCTCCGGGGGGGTCGGGTGCAGCCTCCTGGGCCAGCCCTGACTGGGGTCCGTCGCACTTGTTTTTAAACGTTTCCAGGGAGGGGGGCTCCGCAGCCCCCCCGGGGAGCCCGGTGCAGAGCAGAGGTGGCCTCAGAGCTCAAAAGCGTCTCTTCAAGAGCCCCCCCCGGCTGCAGAGAAGCCCGTTCGCTCTTGTCCGCCCGCGGAGAACCATGAATTGCTCACCAGCTTTTTCTAACAGCCCCTCACACGTCGGGAGACGCAGCAGGTCCCCCTCGGTGCTCGCTTCTTGACACTAAACCTGCCCCGTGTTTTCAGCCCTTCCTCGCAGGTCAGGTTTGCCAGCCTTGTGATCAGGTTTGTCGCTTTCCTCGGGGCTCTTTCCAGCGTGCCCACCTCCTTCCTCGATGGTGGTGCCCGGACTTGGGCCCAGAGCTCCCCCTGGCTGGGGCTCCCCAGTGTCCAGCACTCCTGTTACCACACCCCAGAATCAGGTCGGCCTTTTTGCCGCTGTATCACGCTGACGATTCCTGTTCAGTCTGTGGATTTAGGGAGAGTCCAGCCAGATCTATCAGGGTTCCCCGTCCACCCACTTAAATCCCCCAGCCCCATTCACCCTGTTCTTTCCTTCTCCCCCACTGGAAACCCCCACTCTCTCCATATGCCATCAGATATGGGGCGGAGGGTGGAGGTGGAAGGACAGCCCTGCCTTTCCAAGCCCTCGTCCCCCCCCCTACAAAAAAGCCTCCTACACTTCATGTATTAAACCCTGTGGAAATTCCACAAACCAAACCTTTGTCTAACAGGATCTGGCTGGGTAAGTGTGACCCCCTCCCCGAAGGGAAATCAAAAGGAGCAAGGAAATGACAGTGTCTGAGGCTCCCCTTCACTGTACCCCACACTGCAGCTTTCCATAGACATAAAAACAGCCACACTGGGTCAGACCAAAGGTCCATCCAGCCCAGTACCCTGCCTACCGACAGTGGCCAATGCCAGGTGCCCCAGAGGGAGTGAACCTAACAGGTAAAGATCAAGTGATCTCTCTCCTGCCATCCAGCTCCACCCTCTGACAAACAGAGGCTAGGGACACCATTCCTTACCCATCCTGGCTAATAGCCATTAATGGACTTAACCTCTCTCTTAAACCCTGTTATAGTCCTAGCCTTCACAACCTCCTCAGGAAAGGGGTTCCACAGGTTGACTGTGCGCTGAGTGAAGAAGAACTTCCTTTTATTTGTTTTAAACCCGCTGCCCATTAATTTCATTGGGTGGCCCCCAGTTCTTATATTATGGGAACAAGTCAATAACTTTTCCTTATTCACTTTCTCCACACCACTCATGATTTTATAAGTCAGAGACTCGGCATCGTGGCAAGGAACTTGCTGCTCCCGCCAGTGACCCAGAAATGCTCTTTGTGCACCCCATTCCTAGCACGTCCTTAACGGCAACCTTGTGCGTCCCCCATAGAGAGAGGACACCCCCTCCCTGCTGGTCCTGCGTGCACATGTCACAGTATCGGTGGAGGTGGCGGGGAAGGGTTTTGCGTTGCACTGGGGGAGGAACGTGCTGTGCGTCTCCACGAGGGAATTCTGTCCGCTGACGCAGGGCTGGGCGCTTAGCGGAAGTGCACTGTGTGGACGGCAGATTCAGAGGAGGCCATTGGCCTTTCCTGGCTTTTCAGGGCTGGCTCTCTGGGGCATCTCGCACTTGCTCAGCCTCAGTCCCTTTTAAGTGGAGTTTCGTTGGTGGAATAACGAGTCCCCCAGCTCCACTTACGTTTCTGTCCTTGCAAACAGGCTCCAGAATGGGACCCGGAGTCAAAGCACGCAATGCCTTTACAGTCCCGCTCTGACCCCAGACAGACTTCCAAGAGGGAGAGCCAGCTGCAGCCGGCAAAGCTTTCCATGTGGCCTGCAGTTGCTGCCATCCAAGCTGTGGACAGGACGGTGGATTCCCATGCCACGCGGTTGCTGACTCTGGAGAGGAGAATGGGAACAGCTGAGAAGAAATTAGTCGATTGTGAGAAAACGGTGATGCAATTTGAAAGCCAGCTGGAGAGTAAGTGGGCTGCGGTAGGAACTCTGATCCAGGGGTATGGACGGCTGCAGAGGAGGCTGGAGAACATGGAGAACCTGCTGAAGAACAGGAACTTCTGGATCCTGAGGCTCCCCCCAGGCACTAAGGGGGAGGTCCCCAAGGTAACGATACCCCAGCTGGCGCCGAGGGGCAGAACTAAATCATGTGCAGAGATTTTCAAGAGTCGGGGCCTAAAGCTGGGTTCCTACCTTCATATTTAGGCAATGAATAAGTGGCCTGATTCTCCCAGGTGCCGAGCGTCCCACCGCTCCCATTGGAGTCCACGGGTGTTGCCGTGTGCTCAGCACTCTGGAAAATTGGGGTATTTATTCATTGCCTAAATATTGTCCCTTTGTGACCTGCTGGCTAGTCAAGTGCAGGGCCCTGGGGATGTTCCCGCTGGAACTTTATATTGATGGTATTTTCTGTGATGTAATGCTGTTTATTTACAAGGAAGGTACAAAGTTCTGCTTCTCCCAACACAGGAGAAGAACCAAAATCTAAAAGAGTGTCTTAGCTTATAGCTCCAAGCCTTTGTAGCCAGCACCAGAGCCAAAATCTCTCTCTAGGCTTTTCTAGGGTCCAACACCAACCCATGTTCCCGACCACCAGGCTGCTACTTGCTGGCTTTCTCCCTCCTCAGTGTTGTCAGTTCTGTGTGTTACACGCTCGCGTGTGCCCCTTCTCCCACAGGTTTGTAACCCCTTTTGTCTTCGGTGGAGATTTTGCAATAAGAAAAGGAGGACTTGTGGCACCTTAGAGACTAACCAATTTATTTGAGCATGAGCTTTCGTGAGCTACAGCTCACTTCATCGGATGCATACCGTGGAAACTGCAGTAGACATTATATACACACAGAGACCATGAAACAATACCCCCTCCCACGCCACTGTCCTGCTGGTAATAGCTTATCTAAAGTGATCATCAAGTTGGGCCATTTCCAGCACAAATCCAGGTTTTCTCACCCTCTCCCCCCCCCCCCCCCGAAACTCACTCTCCTGCTGGTAATAGCCCATCCAAAGTGACCACTCTCTTCACAATGTGTATGATAATCAAGGTGGGTCATTTCCAGCACAAATCCAGGTTCTCTCACTCCCTCATCCCCCTCCAAAAAAACCACACACAAACTCACTCTCCTGCTGGTAATAGCTTATCCAAAGTGACCACTCTCCCTACAATGTGCATGATAATCAAGGTGGGTCATTTCCAGCATAGATCCAGGTTTTCTCACCCCCTCCCGCCCCCCGGGAACACACACACACACACACACACACAAACTCACTCTCCTGCTGGCAATAGCTCATCCAAACTGACCACTCTCCAAGTTTAAATCCAAGTTTAACCAGAACGTCTGGGGGGGTAGGAAAAAGCAAGGGGAAATAGGCTACCTTGCATAATGGCTTAGCCACTCCCAGTCTCTATTTAAGCCTAAATTAATAGTATCCAATTTGCAAATGAATTCCAATTCAGCAGTTTCTCGCTGGAGTCTGGATTTGAAGTTTTTTTGTTGTAAGATAGTGACCTTCATGTCGGTGATTGCGTGACCAGAGAGATTGAAGTGTTCTCCGACTGGTTTATGAATGTTATAATTCTTGACATCTGATTTGTGTCCATTTATTCTTTTACGTAGAGACTGTCCAGTTTGACCAATGTAAATGGCAGAGGGGCATTGCTGGCACATGATGGCATATATCACATTGGTGGATGTGCAGGTGAACGAGCCTCTGATAGTGTGGCTGATGTTATTAGGCCCTGTGATGGTGTCCCCTGAATAGATATGTGGGCACAGTTGGCAACGGGCTTTGTTGCAAGGATAGGTTCCTGGGCTAGTGGTTCTGTTGTGTGGTTGTTGGTGAGTATTTGCTTCAGGTTGCGGGGCTGTCTGTAGGCAAGGACTGGCCTGTCTCCCAAGATTTGTGAGAGTGTTGGGTCATCCTTCAGGATAGGTTGTAGATCCTTAATAATGTGTTGGAGGGGTTTTAGTTGGGGGCTGAAGGTGACGGCTAGTGGCGTTCTGTTATTTTCTTTGTTAGGCCTGTCCTGTAGTAGGTGAGTTCTGGGAACTCTTCTGGCTCTATCAATCTGTTTCTTCACTTCCGCAGGTGGGTATTGTAGTTGTAAGAAAGCTTGACAGAGATCTTGTAGGTGTTTGTCTCTGTCTGAGGGGTTGGAGCAAATGCGGTTGTATCGCAGAGCTTGGCTGTAGACGATGGATCGTGTGGTGTGGTCAGGGTGAAAGCCGGAGGCATGCAGGTAGGAATAGCGGTCAGTAGGTTTCCGGTACAGGGTGGTGTTTATGTGACCATTGTTTATTAGCACCATAGTGTCCAGGAAGTGGATCTCTTGTGTGGACTGGACCAGGCTGAGGTTGATGGTGGGATGGAAATTGTTGAAATCATGGTGGAATTCCTCATGGGCTTCTTTTCCATGGGTCCAGATGATGGTGTCATCAATATAGCGCAAGTAGAGTAGGGGCGTTAGGGGCCGAGAGCTGAGGAAGCGTTGTTCTAAATCAGCCATAAAAATGTTGGCATACTGTGGGGCCATGCGGGTACCCATAGCAGTGCCGCTGATCTGAAGGTATACATTGTCCCCAAATGTGAAATAGTTATGGGTAAGGACAAGTCACAAAGTTCACAAAGTCACAAAGTTCAGCCACCAGGTTAGCCGTGACTTTATCGGGGATAGTGTTCTTGACGGCTTGTAGTCCATCTTTGTGCGGAATGTTGGTGTAGAGGGCTTCTACTCCATAGTGGCCAGGATGGTGTTATCAGGAAGATCGCCGATGGATTGAAGTTTCCTCAGGAAGTCAGTGGTGTCTCGAAGATAGCTGGGAGTGCTGGTAGCATAGGGCCTGAGGAGGGAGTCTACATAGCCAGACAATCCTGATGTCAGGGTGCCAATGCCTGAGATTTTGGGATTGATTTCGCCTGATCGTTCTGTTAATTTAAAGAAGTGTTTACATCCAGTGTCAGAAGTTGGTGACCTCTGCAGTCACCGTACCTGTAGGCATCACAGGGGGAATGTCTGAGCTGAGGGGTCTGTGTATACTGGAACTGTTATAGACGCTCGTTACTGCGACAGAAGGGGTTCGTCTATCCCTGTTGTGTAATCTACCTCTCCAAGAGGTGGTGGCTAAGTCAACAGAAGAATTCTGGGGTTTAGAGGTCGATGTGAATTTTTCACAGCCCTGAGTGACGAAATTAGGTCAAACTAAGTTTTAGATGTAGACCAGGCC